TTTTGTGCCATCGGTCAATCGCAAACAGCGATGGCATAAAAAATCACGACATGATTTTCATTTCTAAAGCAGTGACATCCGGATGATTTCCGTATGAATAAAATTTGTGAAAATCACGACGTGACGTTCATATGATTTTCATTTATCACGCGGTGACTTCTGTATGATATCAGTATGAATAAAATTTGTGAAAATCACGACATGATGTTCGTATGAATATCACGAATGTTGTCCGGGTTAATTTACATCCAAGAAAATATTAAATGTTTTTAACCGCAAAAACTGTTAATTTAATTATTAACATACTTTTTCTTTCAATGTACGAATGTGGCGCAAAAATAAATATCCGAACATGTCGGTGCACCGATGGCATAAAAAATCATCTCGTGATTTTTTATGCCATCGGTGTTTGGATATTTATTCGTACATTGAGAGAAAATGTATATCTACATATATGTATATTGAATCAACAGTTTTTGTGGTTAAATATATTCAATATTTTTTTTGGATTTAAATTAATAGTTAATTTACATCCAAGAAAATATTAAATGTTTTTAACCGCAAAAACTGTTAAATCAATTGTTAACATACATTTTCTCACAATGTACGAATGTGGCGCAAAAATAAATATCCAAACATGTCGGTGCACCGATGGCATAAAAAATCATGTCGTGATTTTTTATGCCATCGGTGTTTGGATATTTATTTTTGCGCCACATTCGTACATTGAGAAAAAAGTATACCTACATATATATTGAATCAACAGTTTTTGTGGTTAAATACATTCAATATTTTCTTGGATTTAAATTAACTATATATAGTTCATTTAAATCCAAGAAAATATTATATGTATTTAACCGCAAAAACTGTTGATTCAACATAATTTTTCTCTTAGTGTACGAACATGGCGCAAAAATGATTATCCAAACACCGTTGGCATAAAAAATCACGACATGATTTTTTAGGCCATCGGTCAATCGCAAACAGCGATGGCATAAAAAATCACGACATGATTTTCATTTCTCTCGCAGTGACATCCGTATGATGTCCGTATGAATAAAATTTGTGAAAATCATGACGTGACGTTCGTATGATTTTCATTTATCACGCTGCGACTTCCGTATGATATCAGTATGAATAAAATTTGTGAAAATCACGACATGATGTTCGTATGAATATCACGAATGTTGTTCGGGAGGTTAGCCGCCATTTTAAGCATACGGACGGGACAAATCACAAAACTGTTTTTATTGTCAAAAATATTTGTGTTTTATTAGGCTATACATTAAATAAAAAAAACGCAAGGAATATTTTATGAAAGTAAAAAGATAATTTAAATAATTGACAGGTGTGGGCGGGACAATTGTATCTTAAGATAAATCTTTTTTTTGTATCTTAAGATAAATCTTTTTTTTGTCCCGTCCACAACTCTTAATTATTAAAATTATCTTTACTTTTTTTAAATATTTCTTGCGTTTTTTTATTTAATGTATAGCCTAATAAAAGAAAAATATTTTTGATAATTTTGATGCCAAAATATTATGAAATAAATTATCTACAATTTGTTTCATAAAAACAGTTTTGAAATTCGTGCATTTCGCGAGCTTGAAATGGCCGTTAAATGAAAGCAGGAAATTCAATTCATTAATTTGAATGCATTTAACCATCTAATAAGATTTGGCAACCATGTATGAGGCTGTATTGTATATACATGAGTCGCTATTTAAAAAATATATACACAAATTGAAGCCACAATGTTAGTTATTTAGTAAGAGGTTTTTATGTATGAAAGATGGTTAAAAATGTATACCATAAAATAAAAGATACGGATTTCTAAGTGCGCGGGATCTGTTTAGAATACTTTGAAATTTAATATACATGACACAGACATTCGCTGGTTACCCTCCATCTGGGTGAGGCCGATAAACTTGTCTATTGTATGAGGCCGTAATAATTGAAGATGTAAATATATATATATATATTAGGGTGTTTCAAAAAAATCGACTTTTTCTTTTTCTTCAAATGGTCAGCAAATTCTTTTAGAGGATGTCAAAACAAAGACCTCGTTAAAATTTGAGCTTTTAATTTAAAGATTTAGAGGTCGCGGATCGCAATTTTCTATTTCCCATTTAAATAACATAGGAAATTTTTTGTTTTAACTTTGGAATTTTATACGTCTATATCGAATCAACTTATGGCAAGGGACATCTTATATTTTTATAGTAAATTTAACGCTCTATAAAAAATGTCTCTTATAATTTTTCTATAAATTGATTTCTTCCAGAGTTATTCGAGGCCAAAGTTTGATTTCCATCGAATTTTCTCGTTTTTTCAACTTTTAGCATAATGTAGTAAAAAAATCACATATTTATATCTGAAACATAGGAAGTGTTGTAAAAAAACAAAAAAACAAAAAAACGTCACTTTTTTCCAAAGCCTACTACAAAGTTTTAATGAAAATATGAGATGTGTATAATATGCAGAGTAATTTATATATAAATGCATTTTTCTCGAAAATGGTGCATCTGAGCAATTCAAATCAAGAGTACCTATTTTTCGTAAAAAACTATAAATTCTCATAATTTCATAAAAAAAATTAAATTATTAACCCAGAAAAAAGTTGGGGCTATTTTTGTAACTTTGCCCCCTCCAAATGTTACGCCTATGATTAAATTTTAACAGTTTTGATCGTAGATCTAGATTCAGCATGTCAAAATTCGAAAAGTACCGAAAATTCATTTGTTCATGTTCAACCCTCTAAGAATAGTTTTAAAAAAATTATCCTCTTAGGTTCCTATTCAGGGGGCCGTAGCTCCTTTAGGGAGCATTTTTTGATACATGTTTATTAAACAAAAAAGTGTTATTTTTATACGAATAATGCACTGTTTAAGTTTGGCCCCCCTAATTTCGGTTTGGCCCCGTATAATGATAATTGTTAAAATGTTAAAAAAACGCGAAAATTCGATGGAAATCAAACTTTGGCCTCTAATAACTCTGGAAGGAATCAATTTATAGAAAAATGATAAGAGACCTTTTTTGTAGAGCGTTAAATTTACTATAAAAATCTAAGATGATCCTTGACATAAGTTGATTCGATTCAGACGTATAAAATTTTAAAGTTAAAAAAAAAAATTCCCATGTTATTTAAATCGCTGTGGCTCCCGTCCCGAGGCGGGACTTAAGTTCAGTCCCGATTGACGTCATTATTTTAAGATTTGTTATGTTATAATAAAATAATAATAATAAATTGTACCTGTATACATGTTAAGGGCACTTTAGTTACGCCATAAAACCAAACCAACCCAAACTCAACAACACAACCCAACCGACCCCGCCCCATTGGGCCCCCCCCGCCCCATTGAGCAAAAAACCCAACTAAAATGGGCAAATTTATGTTACGATAAAAATAAAACACTTTTTAACAAAGAAACCACAAATTTATAAAATAAAAAAAAATTAAAAAAAGTTTGACAACTTCTAGTGGGATCGAACCCGGTACCTCTCGCATGCCAAGCGACCGCCCTACCATCTAAGCCATCGAGCTTGACACAAATTATAAAATCTGGGGGAATAAAAACCGATTTACAGTGTGTGACGTCAATCGGGACTGAACTTAAGTCCCGCCTCGGGACGGGAGCCACATCGTATTTAAATGGGAAATAGAAAATTGCGATCCGAGACCTCTAAATCTTCAAATTAAAAGCTCAAATTTTGACGAGGTCTTTGTGTTGACATCCTCTGAAAGAATTTGCCGACCATTTGAAGAAAAGAAAAGTCACCCTAATATATATATATATATATATCTATATATATATATATATATATATATATATATATATATATATATATATATATATGTAATTATTAGTATATTATTATATATACATTAGGGTGAGCCAAAAAAACTAACCTATCGGATTTATGGGTTAAAATGAACCTACATACCGAGCAAAAAATTTCCCTGCAAGGCAAAATTTTTTGCTCAATTTTAAAAGGTGTCGGTGAGCATTCTAAGTTTTCCATTGAAATAACTGCAGTTTTAGTGATTTTTTACACTTTTCAAAGCTTTCAAACATACGAATTTTTGAATTAAAAAAAATAATCCTGGTATAGATTATTTGGGAAATTTTATGCTCTACAAGAATCCGCGACGTAAAAAATTTTATCTCAAACGGTTCAAAAGTTATAGTCTTTTTAATGAAAAAAGATTTTTTTACGTGTTATTTCAATGGAAAACTTAGAATGCTCACCGACACCTTTTAAAATTGAGCAAAAAATTTTGCCTTGCAGGGAAATTTTTTGCTCGGTATGTAGGTTCATTTTAACCCATAAATCCGATAGGTTAGTTTTTTTGGCTCACCCTAATATACATACATATATAATTAATATTATATAATTTAAATTGTTATTATCACTGTACAATTGTAGGAAAATATTGGACATTTTCAAGAAAAAAATATTGGAGTTATATAAAAAGATATACAGAGTGTTTTAAAAAAAACTACCTCCTAGTATTTTTTGATAAATGAAGCCGTTTTGGAGAAAATTATTACATGGACTTTTTTCCTTATTTTTGGATGACGAGCATTGGCTCGTGTTTTTTGAAACACCCTGTATAATTTATTTATTCTTTCATAACTTTGTTATTATTTACAAATTGTAACTTTTTATTTTAAAACGTGTTTAGAAAATTGTTTTATATCCCTTTAGCAGTAAAATGTGTTGAAGAAAACATCCTAAATGCCGTAGAAGCAGATCCTTCTAATTTGACAGAACTTTTAGACGATCTACCTCTGGCAATACTACGGGATATGTGGTTCATGCATCATGGGCCCCGTCACATTTTAGTCTAGTAGTTTGAGAACACTTAAACAGGAACTTTACACGAAAATCGATTGATAAGAAGAGGAGGGCCAGTTGATCACCTGACCTAAACCCATTAGTTTTTTTGTGGGGCTGTATATGTACTTATTTTTATCTAAATTGCAATAACTTCTTACCTATAATGTATACTATCCTCCTCACTTTGTGTGACAGTAATTTCGGCGTCGGTATTATACAAAATCTTCGCTATCGCCTTCAAACTGCCCGCCAACAAATACGCCACCGCCTCCCGTTCCGTAGTGAAATCCAGCTGCAGGTTGTCGTAGCTCGTCGCCGTGCACGAGAACGCCTCCGTTTCCTGCTCGTCCGTCTGGCTTTCCTGGTACTTTAAAACGTCGTGGACTCCATCCAGGGTGGCCAGGAACTCTTTGAGGTTGCCGCCCAGGCATCTGAACGCGCCCTCCATGCGCCCCGTGCAAGAGGTGCCGATCAACTCTTGGCCCAGTTTGTCGAGGAACTCTTCTTTGTCTATGCCTGTGAATAAGATGGTTGTAATGTTTGATAACTTCAATCTTGAAAATTCTCCTCTGCTACAGCCCGATTTAAATTATTTAAAACACTGCAGCAAAGCGCACTCGGGCGAATTTAAAGTTTCGAGAACTATGCGAAACCGATTGTCAGAATAAATCATTTAAATCGGCGCTAATTCCTCTGCAGCAGAGGACAAAAAAATAGTTTCCTTGACGAATTCGCTTATGCGGCAAAACGACCTTGTGAGATAAACAATTAGTACACAATTGAAAAGGTCGGGGCAACAAGGGACCTAAGCCTCATTGGAAAAATATTAAGCAAACAAAGTTTAAATATAATGATTTAACCCTAAAATTTGTTATTTTGATATTGTGATTAGTTTTAATAAACCACTTAAACTTTATTAAAGGATATACAAGTTTAAAAATTCTTTTCTTTTTATTTCAGGCTTTAAATAAACACTTTAAACCGTGTTTACTATATTTTTTCAATGAGGCATATATCTTCAATTAGTACACCGAAAAAAATAATGTAGTTAACGTTTGCCTAAATGTCATTTTTGAAAATGTTGTTTCATCCACAATCCACACAACAAGGTCTATTCTATCTCATGCTAAAAATACTAAAAATCACTGCAACACTGCACAGAGTTTAACGGCGGCCATTTTTGTTGTTTACAATTCTTGTGCTTTGGGTTTGTGCTGTTTAATAATTGTTTTAAACGTTGGGTTTCTTACAGAGGCCCTTGTAAGCCTCAAATAAGGCCTTTAAGTACTAACGACAACCATTTTACTCCTCTTTTATAATAAATATACCTTATTCTATCAGGGCTGTCAAATGACAATTTGAAGATTAATTTGTGGGTTATAATTTAACCTTAAAATTACCAGTTTTATGATAGAATAAAGTTTATTTTTTACAATAGAGGAGTAAAATGGTTGTTTTTAGCACTTTAAGGCCTCTTTTAAGGCTTACTATGAGAAACACAACGTTTAAAACGATTATTAATCTGGGTAAACAGAGCACAAACCCAAAGCACAAAAATTGTAAACAACAAAAATGGCCGCCGTTAAACTGTGCAGTGTTGCAGTGATTTTTTGTATTTTTAGTACGAGATAGAACAGACCTTGTTGTGTGGATTGTGGTTTCATCAAAAAACCTATTGAATTAATCCATAGAGAAACCACCAGAGAGCTAAGTGCCTTGTTATAAGTAATCCACTAAACTACCAATTCCCGCTTTCCAGATGGCGTAGCTGTAGTGGCTTTTGCGCGCCAAATTTAAATCCTGTTTAATGGCGGGAATTTTAAATGTATTGAAGAATTTAATTAATAAAATTGATATTTTCGTCAAAATTACAGAAAATTAAAGTTAAGTTTACTTTTACATTATAAAAACATAATTAAACACTTTTTAAACATATCTGACATCTAGAAATTTTAAGTCGAAACTGTCATACACCTACCTGACATCTATAAACCAACGCACAGAAAAACGCAAGTCGAAACTATTTTACAAATCAGACGGAAACTGTAATTACTCTACAATGGCGACATCTGTAAAACGGGAACAATTAGCCGGACTAAATTTTATATCGAGCTGGCATTCTGGTGGTTTTTCTATGTTCATATTTTCTATATTTTGGTGTCAAAGCAATAGTCAGAGTTTGTCAAAGTTTATTTGTTGATTTGACAGTTAAAATATTGATTTAACATAAACTAATTGACGCGTTTCTCGGAAAAACATCATTAGTCCAAAATTAACATATTTGGGAAAATGAAAAAAACTCTCCGACATTCCCATTTTTTACCAAAGTACTTTATTGACCTATTTACTACATGTAAAAAAATGTAAGATACTTTGTCCAGAATTCCTCATGTTTTTTGTTTCGACGAATATGAAAAAAACACAAAAAATACATGAACATGTGAGGTTTTTAGAAGAAAAAAACGAACAATTCTCCTTACTACAAACACTACAAACTAAATAATAACTCTGAGTAACAAAATAAATGAAAAAACTAAAAACTGTATTACTGCCACACTTAGTCTTCGCATCCACTGCTATTATCATCGTTGTCGACCGTGTTATCAGGACTGTCAGGTGCTACATAGACCATATGGTCTTCTGGTCTTTTATCAAGTTATCATAAAATTTTCTATTGCTGTGGTCATGTAAAAGATGTAGAAGCTTTTCTAGAGTGTCCAAAAACGTCACATGTTATGCACATGTGACTTTCTTAGACGAAACGGAGTGGACTTGTGATATTTTTAGAAGAACAAGCTAAATTTCATATTTAATTATTATGGAACCTATGACATTTTTACGAGAAACACTTATTTGTATACGTTTTTCCGAGAAACGCCTCAATTTTTTGAATTAAAATGTTTTTCCTTTTTTGATTTAATAGCTGGAATTAGTTGAATCAAATACTGAAATTTTTAGGATTACCTAAAAAAACTATTAAATTAACGTTTAGTTGCTCTTTAAATACAAAACATTAAATTTGTTCATTAAACAAATTGTAAATGTTACTTTAAAATTTGTTAATTTTGCATTCATAAAATTGCCGCGAAGGGCGCTTCGAACACCCACGTCATGTCATTAGACGGTGTTGATCACGTTATGTTTTTACATCTCGCCTCAGTTGGCTTACGATAGGAGTATATAAGCTCAGGTAGCCGTTTGTTTTGGGTGTGTTCCACAGTGGAACTTCCACTACACCAAACTGCCCGACACTGATAAGAACCCCAATATAGGTCGAATCAGCTGTCTGTCGGTACTACCGACTCGGTAGGTATTTGAAGTAGGTGGAACGCACTCAAAACAAAAACTCTTGCAAGGAAAGGTTCAATTGTTTCTCTTTATATTAATTCCATAATTTTTTTTCAATACCAACCTCTAAAGATTGTTACTTTTACATTTTCAGAATGTTAACCCAACATTAGCGCAAATTATTTTAATTTAACATTTTATTGTTGTTAAGTGAATATGCTAAAAAGGTTACCTGGACATTTCAAGAATGTTTAATTAACCAGATTAGCAGATTAAAACAAATATTCTTAGTTTGTTCATTTGACTATTAAACAATACAATTTGACATTTTTAGATGGTTAATTAAACGTGCAAAAACCATTGCTTGTATTTAAAGTGCATAAAAAGTTAATATTTAATATTTGTGTTGTTGTTTTAACAGATTATTTTTTTCAGTGTACCTATTTTTAAATTTTATTTTATTTACAGGCGTACAATATTTAAGCAACATTCTATTTAAAAGTTAAAAGGATAAAACACCCATATCCAAAACCTTGGATATACATGTTTTTGAATTTGGGTGCTTTTATCCCAGCTATAACTATAAGTACAAGCTAATTTATCCCACTGATTACACAAAATGTAATAAACAAAACAGCTAATCTAACTACGTATCATTTAAATCTATACATTGATAAATTTATTAAATTTCGTTTATGACCGTATAGCGTATAATAAAATTAGTAATTTTGCACGTTCGGGTACTTAATTTGTGATAATCTAAAATCAATGCCCCATTGCAAACTTTTCGCGTTCAATAACAATCCCATGAATAAAAAGTTTTTAATCCACCCGAAATATATTTTGAAGGCGAAAAGGTTCTCTATTACTATGGAATGAATTTGTATTGTTTGAAACATGTTCATAAAGTGTAACACTTACTTGTGTTTGAGGAAATTGTGTCGTAGATATCGTCTAAATAGGCATAGTTCGTGCAATTTTCCACTATCCTTGGTAACCTTTTCCTGAAAAAAACAAGGGAAAATTTATTTTATGTATAAACAACAAGCTGCTCAAGAATGGCCGGTAAGATCTTCAGATTTAACGCCACTTAATTTTTTTCTTTGGGGTCATTTAAAAACACAAGTCTACAAACACCACCTGAGAACATTCAAGAACTCAAACGAAGAATGTAGGCAGATAACTACTGACTCGTTTCAAAAAGTTCGACAAGAGTTTAAAACTAAATTCTTTAGTTATGTACCTGTTTTCTTTTTCCTTTTCCTGTTTATTATCTGACCTACATACATGGCACAAGGGTATACCTATAAATGATCCACAAATATAAATAAATATTCGATCTTCTTTGGATGCAATTTTTTAAAATTTAGGGAAACTTGGCTGAAATAAATATGCAAATATAATATAATATGGTTATTTGACAAAACATCGTAAGCGACAAAACCTAAATTTTACAGGAGAGATTTTTTTTGTGTGGGAGCTTTATTTTTAAAGTTATTTATCTGAAAACTGGTGAGGCATTATTTTATTAATGTAGAATTCAAATATTTAAGTTAGATCAACTCCAATCTAAAATTTTCATTAAATTTTGTGGCATACGATATTTTATAAGAACATCTTTAGGAAAATGTAAAATTAGTCTTGTCGCTTAAGTTACATTTTCGAACAAACAAACTTCTGTCATTTAAAAAAATGTCTGTACAAACCAACCCTTAGGGACATTTTTGACAAGATGACAAGCAGTTTCAAAAAGTAGACAGAGAATCTAATCTTAAAACAACACAATCAACAATGAAATACGTCAAACTGACAACTTTCAGAAAGTAAGGTTAGTTGTCACTAAAGGCAGTTTTACATTTTAAAATCAACTGAATGACAGGTCGTTCGAAATTTTTTAGCCGTCATTGTACCGTTATAAATTTGAGTCAAATTATTTGACGTTATAACAACCACTTTTAACGAACCACACTACGTAAAAACAATTATAATTAGGATAACTATTAATATTGCAATAATAAAAAGGAATTATAAGCTTTTGATCAAATAAAATATTGTTTTAAAACTTGGTAGAAATCACAATCCACATTGTGGATTGTGGTAGCAATCACCACGATGCAGGTATACTCACGAACAAACTGTTTAGAGCGGGAATAACGCCTTGATAGATCAAGGAGGGAGCACAATATTATCGTAAGCGACACAATGTTAAATCTCAAACGCCATGTCTCGGAGTTGCTTACGTTATAAATCGGTAACAAATTAAAAAGAAGAGGCGCTTACAATAATAAAAATATTCAAACTGACCAATATTAGATTCCAAAATTGGAATAACTATTATGTTAACATGTACAGCTTATCGTAACTGACACTTTGATAAAATAAAAAGTAATTCAACAAAATTGTCGCTTACGATGTTTTGTCAAATAACCATACATATTATGTAAGTTATTTAATATTTAGGAATATGGATTTTGCAGCTTGAATGCCTATCCTCAAATTTTTACAATACTAATTTTATTGTAAAAATGTTAATAATTATACATCAAGGTAATTAATTTTTTTGTAACATATGGGTGATTCTACAAAAGTTGGACAACTTAAGTTGATGTCATCAGTCAATAGAGTAGGTATTTTAATATTTTTTGTTAATATTTTAGTATATATCAAAAGATCCAGGTTTTTTTAACTTTTCCACCCAATTTTAATGTATTTTTTCAAAAGCGCGTTTGTAGAAAAACATAATAAATATTCAAAACATCAGTACCTTGGCGTGTCACAACTCCTGAATCAAATATTTGAGTGATTTTATTTTAAAATATATTCAATTTATCTTATATTTTTAAATTTTCCTACAAACTATAAAACATTAAATAATGTATTTTTCATATTTTATCATAGATTCGAATAATAGCAATTTTAAAAAAATTGATAATCCTTGAACTCACTTTTACCCGTCAGTTCTGTGTCTAATGTTAAAATTCAAAATTCCTGCGAAATATTGAAGTTTAAGCGTCAAGTCCTTGTTTTAACTCAAGTGTTGGTTAAAAATTACCTTTGCACGACAGGCATCTTGAAAACAATACAAGCGGCGAAGTTGTGGTGAATGCACGTATAGTTTCAGTCAAAATGTCAATACTGTGGTGAATAGTTATTTTCTTACGTATATTTATTTCATTGTAATTTATATAAGGCTATATGTGATTTGTTGATAAGTATACTATAGCATCCACTAATAAAAAATATCAGTAAAATACTTCATTCCGAATCATAATCTCAAATTTGTATCCCATTCATCAGTACCGTGTCGTCAGTTCCATGTTCGATGTTTCGGTTATCTTTTTTTCGCAAACTTTAATTTAAATTCTGCTTGCGCAGAACTTGTATATTTAATGTCATTATAAACTCATATAAATTTGGTGTGGGTCCCATATCTAATAATTGAGATATCGGTATTCCCAAAATCCTCCAGCCGCCACTGATGTGTGGTATTATTTGATTTTTAGATATTTAATGTATAACATGCTCAAAGTTGCAATAAATCTTATATTTTCCAATAAATTATGTCTTTAATTAGTACCCTGGTATACTCGTCACTTCCCTTGCATTCAAATTTTGAAAACACAGATATTTCAGAAACTCATAACAAAATACTGTTTAATTTTCTCCGAAAACTATATAAACAAAATGAGGTCAAAAGTTGCCCAACTTTTGTAGAATCACCCATATATGTCTATAGACAAAGTTTAATTGTTTAAATAAATTTGATCTCATTTATAAAAGTAATGCATATTCCGCTATAAATTTAGAGCTTAAAAAAGCGTTATATAATATTTCTTTAAAAAGGCTATTTTTCACAGGCTACATAAGTGATGTGAGCTTTTCCTAAAATTTATTTTCATAACGCGGTAGACTGCTATAAGTTTCCGATAAAGAAGGTTCCTGCAAATTTATTATAAAGTAGATGCGTGGTTGTTGTTTTATAAAAAATACAATTTTAAGCGCAAGAAATTTATACACACAAATAATTGCATATTATTTAACATATTTTTTCTACTCCCACCTTTAAAACGCCCATTATCGTACATGTTTTCATGACACTAAGTGATCTTTTGAATACGTATCGTTTGGGAAATTTCTACTTTATTGTTAATGGCGTAAATATTTAACAAAGCATTTTCAATCATTTAAATAAAAAGATTAAAATCAATGTTTATTATTGAACCTTAACCAAGCGTCTTGTGTTTCAAAATTGTTTGCCTGATAAGTTAGTGAGTAAAATGATATTTGTATTATTATAAAGCCTATTGAGTCCCTTTGTGAAAACATAAAGAAAAATTTGAGGGAGATTTTAATTAAGCTACAACAAAAAGTGGACGGTTTTGTTTGCTTGGAGTTTTTTTTTATTTGACATTCAACCCCACAAAAATGCAGGTAATTAAAAACTACCCCCTAATTCGAAAATCACATTAGCATTGTCCTGAACAAAAATTAAATTAATCAACACTTTCCAAGAAATTAATGTTCTCCAACATTATGAAAATTAAATTTGTTTTGAATTAATCTTGCAGGTGGTATTTTAATTAAACTCAGTCTTAAAATGAATTGTCTCAAAGAAAACGGGAAAACAATTACGTCTTTAAACCTGGGTATAGGAAAATTGAAAACTATAAAAATCAGTAGATATACGCAATGAAGTTTTCTCTTTTTGTTTTACTAAATTTTAATACAAAATAAACCCTTTATATAAGGTGCATATTAACCCGTAACCGGTACTGTACGACTTTCAGGTCATAAACGTTACTGAGGGGTCTGAGAGACACCTGCCTTTTAAAATTATAATTTATATTATTTTTTTTATCTGAGGCTTTGGGGACACTAGGAAATATATATAAAGTTAGAATATCACCAAAAATAATACCTGAATAAAAGAAAAATTTAAACAAATAGGGTTTAATCAAAACATGTACAAAAAGTGCAGTTGTGCAAACTTTGTGATTAAACTATAAAAAATATTAAACCAAACAAAATAAAACGATCTTTATTTCGAAGAATATACCTTAAAAAATAACATAAACAAAAAAAATTTAAATATATCTTTTTTTAACAGCAAAAATAACTGCTTCAAACTATAGCTAATTTTTACAATTATTTTTTCCATAGTAACTTTTTTGTTTTTTGTTTCAAATTCTTAAAAAATTTCAAATTCTTCACTATCTGACCCTATAAAATTATTTTCTATAGACTCTTCACAGACAAGTCCTGAATCGCTGTTGTGATTATCTTCAACGACATAATCACTATAATGGTTATGTAGTATACTACAGTCATCTATATTACTTATATCGCTGTAGATTTCATAAAACCACTACATTACAGTTTCCTTAAAGCCCTTCTTATCACTTTGGACACTTTTAGAAGGCCCTTGTTGCGAATCCATAACGAATTAATTGTTTTATAAAAATTACGTAAACGGTTCGCAGTGGTCTACTAGACACCTCAACACTTTGACTTGTAATAATTTGTCCGTTTGACAATCCAACTTGTTCAAAGTCTAAGAGCATATTGATAACTGCTCTACTTAAAAGTATTGGAAGCGACAGATTTTTAAAACAAAAGGTGAGGGTGGGACAGGGCTTTGTTCGTTGATGAGTGTCTCCCAGACACCACAGTTACCGGTTACGGGTTAATAAAAATCCATTTTTTTTCAAAGTTATCAATAAACATTTAAGATTCTCGAGCCATTGTATACATAGTTTAGTTATCTCTTTTCGTCTCAATTAAATTAAATAGGGAACCCTTGTTTTATAAACGAAATAAAAGTAAATACTGATCAAGTTCTGAAGCCTGGCGGGAAAATAAATACTTAAATACTTAAATACATATACTTACAGACATGAGAACTTAGCTTCAGCCTCTCGTCGGATTACGGAGTCCAGGGCAATTTCTAGAGCTTCATTCTGCAATATAAAATAAACCATTACCATCAAATTTTCGCCACTTGAAATACCAATTGTTCTATTATTGTTCGCAGAGATTATGTCCCGAGAAATTATTCAAATCGTTGACGGAGAAGTCTTTCTTATAAGCCTTAGAAAAGCAAAGTAGAAAAAATACGGTTAATAAATTTCCAGTAATTAACTTAAATTAATTTAACTTGATTTCAAAACATTTCAGGACAGTCAGATTTCAACGTTATCTTTTAAATTTGTTTGACACTTGCATGACGTCTAAAATTATTATCTGAAATTATTTTAGCTCGCGCGCCTGTTTCTTTACTTCAAAGTAATGACATAATTTCTATTGAAGGGCCTTTCACTCTAGTTTTGCATAATTTTATAACTTTAAGAGTCTAATCTTGTAATGAATTTTAACTCACTTTCGATTATCAAATCGAGCTGAAACTTGATCTTAACAAAGATTTGCAATTTAGAAATTTGCCAGCGCCGCAGAAACAACCGCAAGCCAGGCAAAGTGTGTCGGTTTTCCCCGCTAGGTTGAGGGAAATGATAAATGAAAATTTTCGGGTCTAGCGTTTGAAACTAGATATTTACTTAAAATTTGGTGAAATTCTAGAATAATAATAATAATATATTTATTGCCATTTAGATTGGTTATTAATAAGTAATAATTAATTAAATAGCGATTCGGTATAAAATTATTTTTTTTACATATGCTTATAAATAGACAAGAACATACGAGGTGTGTTCAAAAAATATCGGGAATTTTCGTTTTTTGAAACAAATATTTATTTATTCGTCTACATTAATGTTGTCGCCTTTAAAATAGCCCCCATTGGATATTATGCACATGTGCCAGCTCTTCTTCCAATACTCGAAACACTAAAACTCGATCTTTGGAATAGCCTTTAGTTCTTTCAGCGATGCGCTTTTAATGTCATCTATGCTTGCAAAACGACGGCCCTTTAAGGTTCTCTTTATTTTTGGAAATAGGAAAAAGTCAGACAGAGGTATGTCTGGCGAATATGGAGGCTGGGGCATCATTACAGTATTGTTTTTGGCCAAAAATTTTGTTCAAAATTTAACAATTTTAGAACAAATTTTGCTGCCACGCGTTTCATACCCAAAACATTCGAAATAATTTCATGGGATGAGCCAATCGATATACCAACATCATCAGCGACTTCTCTGATGGTTTATAACCATTTCTTCAACTTTTTCCATGTTTTTATCGGTTGTTAATGTGCTTGTGAGTTCGGGGCGTTCGTCATTTTCAACGTCTTCACGGTCATCTTGGAAACTCTTATACCACTTGTTAACTCTTGTTTTACTTATAGCAGACTCACTAAAGGCCTTTGTTAACATTTCACAGAATTTATTTCATTTTTTTAGCAAAATTGGATACAAATTCTTTGATCCATTTCTTTGAACGAACGAAGAATCGCCGAGCTCATAAAACACGTCTAACCTTAGCGGCTGCCACAGTCAAAGTAAACAATGAAAACCGCTAAAGTTTGTATTATACTTCGGGGGCATGTATACCAACATAATAAAGAAAATTTTATGACAACCGGACCCTCCGAACCCGCGAAATTTAACAATTCCCGTTATTTTCTGAATACACCTTGTATATAAACAAATAATAATAAATAATTAAAAACATTATAAGTTTATATAAAAATTGTATTTTAGAAACATTAAGTAGACATAATATGGTTAAAAACACGAGTAATAAAGTGGGGTTGGTAAGTTGTAAGTAGAGATGTGAAAAAAAACATGAAAAAAACCTAGAAAAAAATGTTTTTTTTTTGTTTTTTTTTTTCAAATTCGCTGCAATAAAGCATATTTTGACAATAAATAACATAAATCTTAAAAAATGGAGTAATTTTTCAAAATGAAATTTTGAGTAAAATGTATTAATGTATTAATAATTCTATAGAATATATTACATTTTTCATTATTGAAAATAGACTAAAAAATCTGATTTCACATAAGAAACCAATAGAAATGTAAAACTCCTACACTTATAAAAAAAATAAAGGATAACAAAAAATTCCATTCTTTTTGCGATTTTTCGGATAGCTATATCTTCGTTAAAAATGGTCGTATTGGAGCCGTAAAAAAGCAATTTGAAGCTTGAAGTTTCTAGTTTTGAGATTTTTAGATAAAAAACGTGCAACGCTAACAAATACCGTAATCAAAAAAATTTTAAAATTTTTTTGGCTTTCTTTTTTGGTCCACGGAATGTTCGGACCACCAATGAATAAATGTTCTAAAAGAATTTGCTATTGTTTTTTTTTTTAATTTCCATATCCTACGTGAATTTGAAAAATCATGAAAAAAGTGCTTATGGTAGCTTTTTGAAAAACCAAGCGCTGAATCAAAAATATTATAGGTAGTTACTTTTTTTGGACCAAATCAAAACAAGCGCAGCTCTTATTGGTCAATTCGGTGGTGGTGGCGCGTGCATGGAAATTCCATTATTTAGAAGGTGTTAAAATTGGTTTTGGAATCATTCGTTCCAGAGAAACTTCTAATGGTGCACGAATGTGAAATGCCCTGTATATACCTTAAAAATAAATAATAAACAAACAAACCGTAGCACCACTTTAGGGCACCCTATTGGCTGATCTATTAGATTTTAAGGAATGCTTGCCCATTTTTCTTGTACCATGGTATAATATAATAATATAATATAATAATGCATTATAGCAAGCTTTTAAAGGGTATGTGGACTTTGGCGGTTATGCAAATGCCTTTTAATTTTCAACAGGGATTATTGGCTGTCCACTTTATAACACTAAATTTTTTTTTAGTTTATTAATTTTGTCCGGTTGAATTCCCTTAACTCCAACATTGTGATCTGATGCCCAATGTTGATTAAACCGAACAATGCAATCCATGGCTTCTGGCAAATAGGAATACACCCGTGGATGGCCTATTAAGCTCTGCGGGCCATGATCAGCTTCTTTGGTATATTGTGTCGATTAATTATTTGTATACATTTTAATAGCGTTATGCATGTGTGCTGTGCACCCAACATACATTGTTTGTAATATTGATTTTCTAACATAAATTTTGGTGTTAATATTTGATGTACATGGTGTCCTTAGGATCAATAGCAAATCGCATCAATTCCTTTCTTCGTCTTTTTTTTATTCCTCCCGCGATATGAAAAGGACCGTCGTGAATTCTGATGATTATACTTATATACCGAAACCCCGCCATCTAGGATTATTCCCTTAATACGTCCTGAATCTCAATGTCGAAAGTAGGCGTAGACCACTAGATAATTTCTATATGGAGTACTTTGTTTTATTTACATCACACATTTTTTGGCTTTAACTAGCAAATACGTAATCGGATTTTAATTCTGTTAACTTCAATGGATCAGAAATTGAATTTCCTTCGTCGCATGGTATAGGGTGTAATTAAAAATATTTTGATAAGGGTGCAACATAAAATTTGTTTAATACTGGGTATCTAAATCCACCTGTTTTTTGCTCAGTATCATATTTACTATAACTTCAAGTTATTAAGGGTGGCTAGTTTTTAATTTTTGTTATTATGAGGTGTCGTTGTCGAATGGGACATTCTATAAAACTTTTATTTTATTTTTTTATAAAATCCTCAAAACGAAATATTAATTTTTTACAAAATAATTATTTCCAATAGCTATATTAAATGGCAAATGATTAGGGGCAGGTATTTTAACTCGAATTTAATTATTTCAAATCAAATTGTTTATTTTCATGATGAAAATTTCATCCCAAAAGATACATTCTATAAAGGGATATCCTCTTTTATATATTTTAATGTCCCTAAACTTATTGGCATAAATTTAGGAAAAGATTGAGAGTTAAAATAAGATGAAAACCTAAATAAATATTTTTCTCTACGACTACTTAAGAATAGTAACATTCTAGTGTAATTTTTGATCATAGAAAGGATGTTTTTCTGCAATACTGTGCGAGAATATTCCTACTCTTGTTTAAGAATGGTCACAAGTAACGACATCTCCTGGCTGTTTAATAAACGTAAAAAATTTAAAAATATTTAAATATTACTGTATTATTTATTAATTAAAAAATAATAGCAGTTGTATAATTAAGGTTTAGGCACAAAAAATTAGTTATATTTATTGTTTTTCAAATAATCAAATCAAAATTATAATAAATTTGATATTAAAATGATAAACCAGTTACCTACTATACCGGCTTTGAAGTTTTGACAGATTCAAAAGTAGAAAAAGAATAGATGTTGACATAGATTACTTTTAAAATTAGTTTTGTATTTGTTACAATGTTATTTTTTTTATTAGTTAGTGTAAATAACTATTTTTAATTATAATAAAGATTTAGGCATACCATTTGTTTAAATTTATTATAATTTACATTATAAAATTGTGACGGCACAGAATGGTTTGACAATACAAAAAACTTAAATGTCAAAAACTGCTTGGTTTCTTTTCTCTGTTTAAAATTATATAAGCGTTACTATTCTTACGTAGTAGTAGAGAAAATAATGTCTGAAACACGTTTGGAATAGCATATTCCACTCTCGTAAAACCGTCACACTCGCCTTCGGCTCGTGTGTCAAAGTTTTCCTCGAGCGGAATATGCTGTATTCCAAACTTGTTACAGAATGTACTATTCCTAATTACTTATGTTTTCAAGAGACAGGGTGATAAAGTGTTACCTATCATATCAGTTTTTTAATATAGCTTCTATAGTATACCATATGGTATACCATGGTAGTCTTGGAAACTTCTACTATGGTAGTCTTGATATTTTGCGAACAGTCACTTACTACCAAAACATATTCACATATAATTACAATTGTTTGAGTGTCGTAGAAACGGTGGTTGCTTTAAGAGCCATTCCACGCGTAACGGATAGGACAGTTGCCGGGTTTTTATTTACAAAATAATATTGTTCTATTATATTACCAATGTCAAATTTTTATAAATAGTTCTAAACTAAAGCTGTTTAACAAGGTTTTTA